AGAGAGAGAGAGAGAGAGAGAGAGAGAGAGAGAGAGAGAGAGAGAGACATACACGATACCTTGCTCAGCCATCTTGATAATGTCACCGAGGATGAGTATTCTTCGCCTCTCTCACGTTTTCCGGCTCTCGCCACTCTCAATCACACATGCACGCACCACTGCCAGTCTCACACACACTCGAAGACTTCCGTTCTCAACATCACTTGCCGATCTCCCCACCCACGTAGAGTATCTATATGACACATGCGCGCACCACTCCCAGTCTCACACACACTCGACGACTTCCGCTCTCAACGTCACTTGCCGATCTCCCCACCGACGTTGAGTATCTATGTGTAACATTCATCGCACACAATTACTCCCGTTCTCCTCCGCCTCCATGCTCCACGCCTGCCACGTCCCCTTCCCCCTCGACGACGCAAAGAGTCAGTCATTGCCAGACGGCACATGCATGTTGGCTGCCTGCTGACGGTCACAACACTCCCGCTGCCGACGTCCCACCACACGACGCGTCCCCGCACAACCCCCGACAGGCGCCGCGGCTCGTCTAGAAACCCAACCCGCATGCACCCGCCCTTGCCCTGCGTCCCCGTGCACCCCCCATCCCCCAGACCGCCCGCCGACCGACTCCTCCAAACCGCTGAGCCACTCTGATGAAGACCGGACCCGGCGCACACCGGGGCGACCCAATCACGACGCGAAACCGATCGGCCAATAAGCCGCGCTCGGACGAAGACGGGGTCCGGCGAAGACCAGGACGACCGATTCGTACCATGGTAGCGGTCCGCTGCCGCTCTCGAGAGTGGGGCCGTGGCAGCGGCCGCGGGTCTCGCATCTCTCACATCTGGGACCCTGGCACCAGCAGCGGTGTCTCACGTGGGCCCGTCACGCGAGACCCGCCTTTTCCTTTAAGGTATTAGAGAAAAAGGAAACTTCCACCTGCATTAGGAAAATACGTACTGAAAAAAAAAAAGGAAAAAAAAAAGAAAGCAATCACATTCCACACATAGTCACCAGATACATTCCTCAAAGCACTGGTGCGACTTCCACCTGCGTGAGGGTCTTCGCCAACCTCCCTGGACCTCCTCGCTGGATTCGATTCGATGTTCTTAGTTTTTTTGCAGGCCTTCCCTGACGTTGCTGGATTCAAAGTTCTTAGACCACCAGTACCCCAGGGGACCCTCTTAAGGCCCCCTCTTGGGGTCCGCTCTGATGCAAATGCACATGGCCCCGCACGGCGCACCGATTCAGCCACCGCGTTAACAGGGCCTAAAAACCTGGAGGTACTGGTGGTTTAAGGGCATACTCACACTAAGCCCTCGACATCGCAACATCGCAAAATGAGCAGCCAGACCGAGTCCTTGTAAATTAAGGACTAGATGTGGCCACTCATTTTGCTATTTTGCAATTTTGAGGGCCTAGTGCGAGTATACTACTCTTTATCATTCTTTGTTTTCTTCTTTTTTCCTCTCTTTTTTCGGCCTCCCAACACTGCCCCAAGCCCTTGGCTTCTTCCAAATAGGTTACTTTTGCGACTTAGCATCCCAGTGTACAAGGTAGTGGTGTGTTTAAACCACCAGTACCTCGCCAAGCTATCAAGTCCGAGGCTCGGCCGACCGGTAGCCCAATCATTGCCAAGCCTCCACGTACCGGTAGCAGTACGTCATCCAAAAATAAAAGAGAGAGAAAAACACCAAAAATAAACATAATTCTTCCCAAAAAAATAAAAATAAAAAAATCAGACGTCCCCATTTCTGTCCGCGCGCCACACACACACACACACACACAGAGAGAGAGANAGAGAGAGAGAGAGAGAGAGAGAGAGAGAGAGAGAGAGAGAGAGAGAGAGAGAGAGAGAGAGAGAGAGAGAGAGAGAGAGAGAGAGAGTTATATCCCCATTTCTGTCCGCGCGCCACACGTACATAGACAGATGCTATATAAGAATCATCCCCCCTTACAAACACCCCTACAGATGAGAAGTATCCAACATATATTATATCCTTGCACGCACTGTCACCTCTGCCACCAATGATTTCTGTCGCAAACCACAGACTTCATGAACACAGCAATATTTTCAAAGTATTACTTGACCCCAGACATACGCACACAACACACCAGCCTCCCTCTCCCTCCCTTTGGCTGTCACAACCTACAAGACCCTGTGAACACAGCTAACACAGACCTGGAGTATTGCAAACCGACCCGCCTTCAAATCTGATCTGACATCAATTGCGCAGATCTGACATCAGATCTGACATCATCGAAAAATTTATATCTGGCAGACGACTGCTCAGACTTGCACTCTGCAGAGAGAGATTGACATAATCAGTTTTTGGATGCCCGCATTGCCCGGTGAAAATTCACTGACCGACAGAGTGTTTCATATCTCTACGACTAATTTTTCTTTTTTTTCCTTTTTTTTTTTATCATATGCACAGATAAGGCAATCTTTGTGAGAAAGAAAGAGAGAAAAAAAGAAGGAAAGAAAAAAAGGGGAAACTACACAGGAGTCGCAAAGAATGAGTTATAAATTATAATTGCAGTACGGGCCAAGATACAGTTTCGAATTGCAGTTCGGGCGATGTATACAACCCAGCTTTCCGGCCAGGTAGGGTGCCCGAAGTGCAATTACAAACTGTATCTTGCCCCATAGTGCAATTATAACTCCTTTTTTTTTGTGACTCTACTGAAGTGGTGGCCACAACTCGAAGTTTGAAAAAAAAAAAAAAAGAAGAAGAAGAAGAAGAAAAGAAAGAAAGGAAAAAAAAGAAAGAAAAAAAAAAGAAAAAGGAAAGAAAGAAACAAAAGCTAAGAAAGATAAGACCATAATTTGCACCCGTCCCAGACTCCAACCACTACTGCCCCCAGATATCGACTGAGGCCCCACAGCAGTACACGTGTTGGCTGGAGGGCGTGCTGGCTGCAGGGGGGCTCACAGCACCATGGAAAACTTTTGAGTACCCAGAATTTGACGACTTTTCCCGCGGTTGTTCCCTGCCACAAAAAAATATCAAGAAGATCGGGGACGTACATTAAGCTCCCATCTGTTCGGGGCACATATCAGAAGAAAATTCAAGACAATTAAAAATGACTTTAAAAAAAACAAAAAAAAACAGAGCTCTGTATGTGCAAAAGAAAAATTCAGGTAACCCGGCCTCAATTGAATTTGCAATATATGAATTCTATATATATAGTCGGTGAAACTCCGACGAAACAGTTTGTCACAGCCCCTCGTTTGTTGTCCTCTTCTCTCTCTCTGCCTACGGTTTACCGGGCAGTTCTGTTTGTGACGATATATATATAGTCAAACAGAGCTGCCCAGTAAACCGTAGGCAGAGAGGGAGAAGAGGACAACAAACAAACGAGGGGGGGCTGTGACAAACTATTTAAAAAGAAAAATAGGTAAGCAAAAAACACGCATACATTTGCACACTGCTTTGAAACCCCGTACGGCCCAAAGACTTTCAGCTCCGCTGCTACTGGGTCGGGAAATCCCCGATAAGTTCCACAAAACAGATTTGGGAGCAATGGTGGCTGCGAAAGTTCACTCGCTATAATATGACAGCCGGCATGTATGCATGCATGCATGTCGGCTGTCATATCACAGCGAGTGGTGGCTGCGAAAGTTCACTAGCTATAATATGACAGCCGGCATGTATGCATGCATGCATGTCGGCTGTCGTATCACAGCAAGTGAACATTCTCCGCCACCACTGCCCCCAAATCTGTTTTGTGGAACCTATCGGGGATTTCCCGACCCAGGAGCAGCGGAGCTGAAGTTTTTGCATGCATGCGTGAAAAGCCGACGTCCTCGACCACTGCCGCTTAAAAACCCTACAGGCCACTCAATCAAACACAAGCACAACACAACTAAGCCTTGGATCGTATCATCGTGGACTCGCTTTTTCTTCTTTTTGTTTTTCTCAAACCGTAACTCACTTAGCAGAACTACCAACCACTTTCCCAAAGAGGACGGAAGACGGTACGCCAAGTTTGCAACTTTCCAAATACATCACACCAACCCATGGAAGGCGTTCATCCAGCGGATTCCGGCTGTGGTCCCCGTCTCCAGCTGCTCCGCAATCTGTCACAAAGAGCATTAAGCCTCGGCCGCACCTCGCACCCACTGCCAGTAAATCTAAAGCTAGCGCCGTCAGGCATCACCGTAAAAAAATGGCAGCAAAGCTTTGCTTCTGTACCGTGCTGGTTCGAACTTCACCCACCGTAACTCACTGAGTCGTCGGCCGCAACAGAACACCCACTCCATTCCAACCCCCAACCAGCCATGCTGGTTCGAACCACCCACCATCGGACTGAGGCATCTGCCGCAAAAAAGCGCAGCCTCTGCTGTCGACCGGAATGCCTAGCCGACCCCATGACGGCTGCTTCCCCTACATTGCTGCCACAATTGGCGGGCCGTAAAATTGCAAACGCCTCAGTTGTATAACAATCGCGGCCGCGCACTTCTACGACCCCCTAAAAAAACATGCTGCTGAAGCCTCCAGCAATGCCAGCAGCGGCTCTTCAACAGAGAGGACTATTTTATAGATTGGGCAGAGATTGAGAGAAATAGGCAAGTTAAGGACAAAGAACTTGGCGGCCTAACAAAGCGATCGGCGAACATTATAACCATATACAAAAGCCGACGCAATGGGTTTTGACGAAACGCCGCCTCCTGCCAACCCATCTCAGAATGACCACCACGGCGGGCGGAACTGAAGCACAGGCCAGCCAGCTAATACACAGACTATCTCCCAGCCCAGCGTAGACATAGGGCCTCGCTCCACTACTCTCAAAATGTGCAGAACGAGACTAAATCTTCCGCTAGTACATGGAAAGATACATTGCCAATGTCTTTTGTATTTTCTGCAGGTGGCGCGTAGTGGACCAACGCCGATAGAACACCCACCACGAACCCACCACAACAATTTCTGAAAAGTTCCAAAAACAGTCGTTAAGAAAGGGAAAAAAAAAAAAACAGTCATCAGATCATGACTACATGGTCACATCAAATCAAAAGGTAACTAATTAATGCACATACTCTATTCGAAGAATAGACACCGAATAACAGACTCGGATAGCAACCCACCATTCCCTGTGTGCAAATCCATGAGACGATAATGAGGAGCAAATCATGGCAATGGCCACTTAGCACACAGTGAATTCCAACAAGCAAGCATTACTTGGCTATATATCGTCAAATATATATAGTTTGCACTCCCAATATCCCCTCACTCGTCCTTTTCCTCGGCGTCCTGTTTCTTGTCGTGTTTCGCTGCCTCACTCGTCCTTTTCCTCGGCGTCCTCTTTCTTGTCCTGTTTCGCTGCAGTAAACCGCATGTCCACCATTCTCTCCCAAAAAAAGACAGATAAAAGAAAATAAAATCACAAAAAAAAAAAAAAAAACTTCGATTCCACAGAGCCAGGCACTATTGAAATGGACAGAGACTAACCACTATATAGTATAGTATATATTAAAATTTAAAATAAAAGACAGAGATTAACAAAAAATTAGCAGAATATAACCATCGGTGTGAAACCAAAGCACAGAGTCACAGACCAATCAATAGACAGATTCTCTCCCAAGAATAGACATAGAATAGCAGAGCCTCACAGTGCCCCGGGCTAACACTGACTCAAGAGTCAAGATCACTTCCACAGTCTGGTCCCACCACCTCCGGGTGACAACTGTCTCTTTGCCTTGCAGCCCATGTAGATATACACGATCCCCATCCCCTTGGGAGTACCATGCCGTCCATCATCCACCGAGATCGGTAGTTTTGTAGATAGGCAAAGTAAACAGCACGACAGCATAGACAGGAGGCAAAGGACTTTTGTAAACAAACCACATTTAACTTCACCAAACCCAAACTCAGTATCTGCCGGGACCCATCGCCTGGTGGGCCGGAGGAGCCATTGGCGCACCATAGCCATCACCTCTTGGCGGCCATCCATACATCGGGTCAAGCCCGCGGGACCTCAGCTCTTGGAACTCCTGAATGACCGCGCAAGGGAAGCACAAGCAATGCACCAAATAGTCGGGCATCGGTTCCTCGGGAAGATTGTACTTGGTACGCAACTTTCTCCGATACCCGCAAGAGTAAAGACACCCACAGGAAGTGGCATTCTGGATCACATACCAGATGAGCGCAGCGATGACGCAGTGCGTGTTACCTTCGTCAAGAACCATCACATTGCGCCCAAAGGTCAGGCATGGCAGGATGCAGCTCAGAACACAGAGTGGGAGGTCGGCCAAGCAGTCCAAAAGACCATACTTCCACTCCGAAGGTTGGGCGATACCTGCAGAGGAAGGATGCAGATAACCGCCTGCGGGGCCGAGGCGTGGAAGATAAGGAACGCCTGCCGAAACCATCTCCGGTTGTGCTTGCAGCACCGACGCGTGCGGCGCCGACGGAATGTATTGCTGATAAGAGGCTGTTGTGTCAGGATACCCTGGCACCGACGGTAAAGCAGGATATGCAGGCGGAGTGCTCATGATGTTTCCGTACGATTGATACATCCCTTGACCGTCATCCCTGCCACGAAGTAATGGCTTGCTCTCATCCATCGTGTTGTTTTTCCTCCAGAGAAACAGACGTTCTCTTCCTCTTCCTCTTAGGTCCCTTTGCAGGCAATTGACGTCGCGACTAACTGGAAGGAGGTACTCGACGACCAGAAGTCGACACAGAGAGCGAACTCGAAGAATGCAGACGCGTTTCAGCAACAAACCTGATCCACACAGATTCATTCGCCATGCATCGACAGAACCACCCGTTAGACCTCTCTCTCTCTCTCTCTCTCTCTCTCTCTCTCTCTCTCTCTCTCTCTCTCTCTCTCTCTMTCTCTCTCTCTCTCTCATATTTGTGACATAAACGCAAGAGAAGTACACAGCACGCGGCGCCGGAACCATTCTCGATGCGTCCGTTGTGCACTACTTTCCTTTTTTTTTTCGACGGCCGGTAACCTTTTTTTTTTTTTGCAGTACTCTTTTTTCTTTCTTTTCTTTCGTTATTTCCTTTCTTTTTTCCTTCTCTTTCTTTTCTTTTTCCTTCTCTTTTTTCTGTTCTTTCTCTCCTTTGTTTTTTTTTTCACAGTTTCTCCTTTTCTTTCTTCTTCTCACTGTGCCTCTCAGGTGCAAGGCTCGCCATGTCGGTGTGATTCAGAGCGAGGTCCTAACACCCCCATCTGTCATAATAACAGTAAGGGGAGACAAGGTAAGGGGACTGCTTGGCACCCGCCACCTAGAGATAGACCACTGGATCCCGCGATCGGCATTGAGCAGTCTTCTTATGTTCGTAAAGGGGGGAGGGGGGGGGGGGGGACCACCACCTGAGGGGGGGCACAGGGATTGGTCCTGTTGGCATATGGCCCCTGATGCTAACCGGATGTCCCCTTCCCCTAGCCGGTATTGCCCACCTGCAGGTCGGGAGCAGCCCCCGCATATTCTCTCGTGAACAGGGTTCTGGCTACTACGGGGTTCCCCATATGCCTACAATTAGTAGTAGTGCTAGGTAGGCAGTGAGAGGTGATTTTTTTTGACAGAAGAGTGTAGCTTTTTCAAAAATTATACACATATATATCGTCACAAACAGAACTGCCCGGTAAACCGTAGGCAGAGAGAGAGAAGAGGACAACAAACGAGGGGCTGTGACAAACTGTTTCGTCGTATATATATATCGTCAAATAGATATATATATCGTCACAAACAGAACTGCCCAGTAAAACCGTACGCAGAGAGAGAGAAGAGGACAACAAACGAGGGGCTGTGACAAACTGTTTCGTCGGAGTTTCACCGACTCATCTATATATATATAAACAGTTTGTCACAGCCCCTCGTTTGTTGTCCTCTTCTCTCTCTCTGCCTACGGT